ATCTGTCACTGCGGCAGAGATCCTCAAAGTTCGCACCAGCAGTAGGACAGTGACATCACCACTGTTGCCGTCAATTATTTCCTTCCAGAGGGCACTGTGTTCCGGGGAGGCGGCAGGAAAGCCAGGGTGATAGAGGAGAATGGTCTGTCCCAGCAGTGGTGTAAGCTCCTTTCCATCTAGGGAACCTGATTGGTGGCCTGAGGTTGGATTGGTGAATGGACTGGTTTGGATGTACGACACTAGCTATGATACACGCCACTGTATTTTAGCTCTTTGGTGAGTGTATAAGAGTGGAGGATCGCACACTGCTGCTGACAGAGTGGAGACCTTTTTCCTACACCTGGGGACTTTCTGTACATTTCATCTGAAGAGGATTGATGTATTGTTTCATTTGGGTATCCATGTCTATATTCGGACATTTATATTGACACCTTATTGGTTTATTTTTTTGCTGCACTTGATATTGTATGGTGTATTAATGTTTTCAACACTGATACTTTTTATGGCTAATTTATATTGAATTTGGTGTATTAACTCTTATAGTATTGATTGGATATATTTACCTTGTTTACACTGATATACTTTATAGTTCATTTTTTTTGGATACTGGCACAGCATATATTTATGCTATAATAATGAGCATTTACATTTAAAGTGGTAGTAAAGGCTCAAGGTTTTTAACCCCTTGGCGCCGGAGCCTCCTGGCCCTTTAAGGGTTTCAGAAACCGGGAGGCGGGGGTGGGTCACGACATCACGGTGGTCACATGATTGGGAAAGGTCCCCAATCGAAAGAGGAGTCCAGGACCTTTCCGTGAGTACCGGACATGTGTGCTGGGAGCGCGCAGGGTGCACACTCTCAGCACATATGGTTTTTTTTTAATAGAATGTGCGGCCGCTCAGCGTCTAGGCCCAGACGCCGGGAGGCCGGCGCCAAGAGGTTAACCTTCATGCATTCTATGACCTGTATGAAGGTAAAAAAATCTTCTATGTGTAGCAGGCCCCCCCCAACACTTACCTGAGCCCCCTTGTAATCCAGTGATGTCCACAAGAGCCTTGTTTCTCTGGGAACCCTCATTCCTGATTGGCTGTGGCAGCAGCCGTAGGAGCCAATGTCAATCACAGCCAGTGACCCAATCAGGAGAGGGGGGGTGTGGGAGCAGGGGCAGACTGACAACTCATGGGGCCCCCGGGCAATAGGGGATCATGGGGCCCCTGTGTCCTTGCCCACACTCAAAGCACACCCAAAAAAGCCTATAAAAAGGTACCAGGGGCATTTCATGGGGCCCCCTACTTACCCCGGGCCCTCGGGCAGTGCCCGAGTGCTCGAATGGTCAGTCCGCCCCTGGGTGGGAGCCAAGTTGCGATTGTGTGTGACTGGACACGCAGAGCCGCGACTCGGGAGCACGCTTGCTTGGGGGCCACATTGCAAGCTGTTTGCTAGTGGGGCACCGGATAGGAGGGAGGGGCCAGAAGTGCTAGCGGGGACCTGAGAGAAGGAGGATCCAGGTTGCCCTATGTAAAACCATTGCACAGAGCAGGTAAGTATACCGTGATTGTTATTTTCAAGAAAAAAAAACGACTTTAGTATAACTTTAAACACTGCTTTTTATTACTGTTTTGTAAGGTTTCTTTGTGCTAGCTGCTAATCCTCTGAGCGCTCACTTATATTTTTTTTCCTTAGCTAATTTTTTCCTTCTACCAGCCCCAGAAAGTTAGTTCCTCTGCAGCTATCTGGGGCGGGGGTAAAAAAAAAAAAAATCAAGGAGTCCATGCATTGAACCCATGAAACACTGAACATGGTTGCAATGCTCTGAAGGCAATGCAAAAATGCAACTAATGCACGTTATTTATTTTATGAATGCGGGCACATTTATTACATTTTTGCCTGTGGTGGAATAATTATAAGTGTGTGCCAGGATGATAAATGTTTGATAAATAATAATTATACTTTTTATACACACAAAAAAAACTCATTATTATCACTTTCAGCTGAAACATTGCTCTTTTTTTTGTTTTTAATTAAACCATAGACAGGTTTTATCACCATTATTTCTGTTCTAAAGTTGGATAATCTTATCAACTGACTCATACTCAATGTCATTCTGGGTCCTCTCGCACAGTGGAATTATTTTTAGAGAATGTTCCGTAGTTTGTGCTCCTAGTGAAAATCATTGCTTATATAAACACTGTCAAAGGAAAGCATTTTTGTAAGGAAAAATAATCTTTTCAGGTGATTTATGTATAGTACAATAATTTTAACAAGCTTTATTAGAGAGCTGTACCTGCTTCCTCTCTGTAGATACTAAAACTGTCCATTTCACTAATTTCCTCACACTAAAGAGATAGGGTCTGACTGCTATAATCACAGTATAATCAGTCCCCATGCTGCCACAAAAGAAATACTACTGAAGGTAATTAGTTATCTGGGGACATTTTGTATGCATATAGTTTATAAAATGCCCCCCCCCCTTGTTGTCCTGTTTCAAAGAAAGTGAAATTTTAATCTTGTCAGTTTAAAAAATAAATTCTAGCTGTTGCGAGACGTCTTACCTCCTGCAATCTGTTGACGTTTCCACATGGAAGAAAAAGATATATTTGAATATATTTAAAAAATATTATTTCCAAATATATTGCCATATATTTGAAATACTACAATTTTAGCCATATTCAATATATTTCAAAAATATATTTCATTATTATTATTTTTTTTTATATTATTATATAAACAAATAAAAAATTGTATATATATATATATATATATATATATATATATATATAGCATATATATATATATATATATATATATATATATATATATATATATATAGAGCATATATATATACACATACATACACACATACAAACACACACACTGCATGTTGAAATGCGTTTTTATTACAACATACATGAAAAATATTTTTAAAAATACATTTCAAATATACTGTATGGCTTTAAAAATACAAATCTACATTTTTGGAATGCTTTTACAAATATATATGTTAAAATTACTTTTTAATATTTTTAAAAGTATCTATTTTTTTAATATATTCTTCAGATTTTTTTTAACATATAAAAAAGTCATTTTAACATATATATTTACTTATATTTGTAAATGCATTCCAAAAATGTAGATTTGTATTTTTAAACACATACAGAATATTTGAAATGTAATTTTAAAAATATTTTTCATATGTTTTGTAATAAAAACATATTTCAAAATACAATATATATATATATATATATATATATACAGAGAGAGAGAGAGAGAGAGAGAGAGAAAGAGAATATAGCCAAAATTGTAGTATTTCAAATATATGGCAATATATTTGGGAAGAATATTTTTAAAATATATTTCAAATATATTTTTCTTCCATATGGGTTGACAGGCAACACTATGCTTGTGCTGGGGGTGCATTGATAAAAGTTTCCTCTTTTGGGAGCTAAAAGCCAACACTTTTGCGGCTGCTGGCTCTCAATCCCAGACGTCACTGACAGCTCAGGTCCTCACTGACATTCACGTGATCGCTATGTCAGCTACTGCATGGTGATCACTTACTGGCTGAGGCTTCACTGACAATATGAGCTATCAACCTATAGATGAACACTGCTGCCTTCAGGCTTCTGATTACAATGCCAGCCATTTACAGATTGAAATTCATCCAGTTTATCAGGAACTGTCCGAACTTCAATTCATCTATGGGCAGACGGGTCTTTTGATCTATTGAGTAAAGCAGAACTCCAGTTTATTTATTTACAGTGCAGTGAGGCTATGCCTGCACTGCATTGGTTAATTGCTTGTTTTGTCAAGGGGCTCAGGGAAAAGCTATACTTACGCTGTCCTCTGATCCTCTGGAAAACTGTGCTCTCCCATGACCAGGGGTGGACTGTTCCTTCTGTCCTCATGTCCAGAGCTGGTTTATGGGCATGATAACGTCAGGAACTGCTCATTCACAAGACCCCTAGTGTGCGTGGGTGGGCGGGGTTGTCTTAGCCGCGGGGACCAGTCTTGCACTCAGAGGATCGGCAGATTAGGTAAGTATATCTCAGCTTTATAAACCCCAAGACTAAAACGAGTATTTAACCCATGCTGTACGGATTATAAAAGTATCTTGGTAGACAAAGCATTAAAGAATACAGCAGTGCCCTCTCTACATCCCAGCTTTCTGATTTGACAGTGAAAAAGCAGCAACAGACTGATGCTGTCATCAGTCTTCTTGTTCTGCACTCTATTGACCTACACTATACTGGCAAAAGTATTGGGACATCTGTCTTTACAAATACATGAACTTTAATCGCATCCCAGTCTTAGTCCGTAGGGTTCAATATTGAGTTGGCCCACCCTTTGCAGCTATAACAGCTTCAACTCTGCTGGGAAGGCTGTCCACAAGTTTTAGGAGTGTGTCTATGGGAATGTTTGACCATTCTTCCAGAAAGGCATTTGTGAGGTCAGGCACTGATGTTGGATGAGAAGTACTGGCTCTCAGTCTCCGCTCTAATTCATCCCAAAGGTGTTCTGTCGGGTTGAGGTTAGGACTCTGTGCAGGCCAGTCAACTTCCCCCACAAACTCTCTCATCCATGTCTTTATGGACCTTGCTTTGTGCACTGGTGCACAGTCATGTTGGAGCAGGAAGAGGCCATCCCCAAACTCTTCCCACAAAGTTGTGAGCATGAAATTTTCCAAAATGTCTTGGTATGATGATGCCTTAAGTGTTCCCTTCACTGGAACTAAGGGGCCAAGCCCAAACTCTGGAAAACAACCCCACACCATAATTCCCCCTCCACCAAGCTTTACACTTGGCACAATTCAGTCAGGCAAGTACTGTTCTCCTGGCAACAGCCAAAGAGAGACATATCCATTGTATTGCCAGACAGAAAAGCGTGATTCATCACTCCAGAGAAAACGTCTCCGCTGCTCTAGCGTCCATTGGTGGCATGCTTTACACCACTGCATCCGACGCTTGGCATTGCACTTGGTGATGTAAGGCTTGGATGCAGCTGCTTGGCCAAGGAAACCCGTTCCATGAAGCTCTCTACACACTGTTGTTGTGCTAATCTGAAGGCCACATGAAGTTTGGAGGTCTTTAGCTATTTACTTTGCAGACATTTGGTGACTTCTGCACACTGTGCTCTTCAGCATGCGCTGACCCCACTCTGTCATTTTTCGTGGCCTACCATTTCATAGCTGAGTTGCTGTTGTTCCCAGTTGCTTTCACTTTGTTATAATACCACTAACCGTTGACCGTGGAATATTAAGCAGCAAGGAAATTTCATGGATGGACTTATTGCACGGATGGCAACCTATCATGGTACCACGCTTGAATTCACTGAGCTCCTGAGAGCGACCCATTCTTTCACAAATGTTTTTAGAAGCAGTCTGCATGCCTAGGTGCTTGATTTTATACACCTGTGACCATGGAGGTGATTGGAACACCCGAATCCAATTATTTGGAGGGGTGTCCCAATACTTTTGGCAATCTAGTATATTTCTTGTCAACTATTTGCATGCAGCACACCTATTTGGCTTCCAGTTTTGCCTCTCCATCTTTCAGTCTGAGCTCTGCTGTGCAGGTGATTGCAAGAGGCTGATACCAAGTCAAATTCAGGTACATACACTAGCTGCCTTTAAAACAAAATACACATAATGATGTATTCATGAATACAGAGCTACATTGGTGTGTGTCTTTCATATCTGCCTGGAGTTCGTTTTTAACTGTTCATCTGAAGGCAGCCTTTCTGTTTATTAACACAGATCGAGGTTGTTTATTCTCTTTGACTTTTTTATGATCATATCTTGTTGTGGAAGACTTCTAGATATATCCACTGCCACTTACAGTAGTTTAAAAATAGAATAACATAAATTCAGTTAACGGAACTAGAGGGATTTTTCGTTTTTGCTAATACAATTTCTTAATTCATTTATCTCTACCATGATTACCCGGCATAGCGGGAAATTATCTGCTATTGCTCTTGGCAGGAAACAAGAAACCGAACAAGGTCATGAGAAACTGCAAATTAAGGGCAACGACTTCCATACAGCATGAAAGGTCTACTGTAAAGATGAACACAATCAGCTGTGATTTGCAGGGCACAAAAATATCAATTTTGTTAGGTGTTTAGGGTTCATTGCTAATTAACTGATATTGTGAATCCATGTATACATAAGTGGAATGGATCGTAATACTTAACCCCTCACCTATATAACAGGAAGTTCTTTACAGGGTTGTAAATCAATACTTCAAAAGCCAAGCAAGGCATATTTTTCCTAATTTATAAGTGGAATTCTAGGAAAATATTTGTAAAAATCCTCAGTTTATAGTCCTTTCTATTTTTATATAAAAACAACAATTATAACTCCCTACATACAGTTTAAAAATATTTAATTTCCATATCCAAATTTTAATTCATCAGCTTGAGCCAATAAATATATCCTGGCAAGCTGCCTAGGACATATATATATATATATATATTTTTGGTGTGCACCTCATTTTTGTTTGTCTGTTTTGTTTGTTCTGAAGATATTTTTTATTAGAAATAGGTATGAATGAGCTTGTGTTTCATTCAAACTTTAGTTCAGATCAAACAAGGAAGCTATCATTACCTTTCACTGCCACCCGAATCAATCTTATTTTTTCACGGGTGCAAGCAACTTTGACATGTTTGCTATATGTGGTGGTATCAAAACGTTTTGAGACTAGTTTTGTAACACATCAACAGATGGCAGCACAAGGCTGCGCTCACAGTCACAGGGATCACTGACCTTCAATGTCAGTGTGTCAAAAGACATCCTCCTGTGTACATCGGGAGCTGGGCAACTGGTTTTATTCTGACCATGTGCATTACGATGTCTGCTTTTTCATCATGGACAGCAAGTTAGAACAAAAAGAAAACTCTGCATTAAACCTGTACACCCAAGTTTCATCACCAGTAATGATCCTCGACATGCAGGATGTTCTTGGCAGACTTCCACGTGGTGTTCCTTCTGCTCCTGGGTCAGCAGCCTGGGGACAAACTTTGCAGCAACACGGAGCATGTTCAAATCACATGTGAGGATTGCCTGGATTGTTCCGTAAGATACACCGACAATGGCAGCAATGTTGTGGATTGTTCTCTGACGAACATCATGCACAAGTTGCCGAATGGTTTTGCCATTTTCGGGCTGAGCTTGTTGAAGGTCTTCCTGATCTCTTGTCATGTTCCAGTGATGTTCTTTCGCCCTTGAAGTGCACATGCTACTAAAAACACCTTGAACAAATCATTGCAGCATTGCCATAAACTTGCTGAATAATGTCAAATGTCTCCGTGGCAGATTTGCCCAGTTTCATGCAGAATTTTGCATTTGCTCTTTGTTCTAACTTGCTGTCCATGATGAAATAGTAGACGCGTTAATGCACGTGGTCAGAATAGCAACAGCTGCACAGATCCCCAATGTACACAGGACAATGTCTTTTGGGACACTGACTTATGAAGGTTAGTGCTCCCTGTGACAGCCTTGTGCTGCCTTCTGTTGGTTTGTTACAAAACGAGTCTCAAAACTTTCTGATATCACCTCGTATACTTACTCGGTGCAACCTTTTTTAAATATTTTACCAACAATTGGATAATATATTACATTTGTGTGCTCTAAAATTAGTTTTAGTGCATTTTTTACTGAAAATTGGAGCTTGATAGTCTGCTGCGTTAATATTGTGTGAGATAAACATTTGGAACTACCACTATCTTATTCTCCAGGGTCTCTGCTCTCAGAAAATATATAATATTTGGGGGTTTTAACCAATCTTCAAGCCTTACATTATTTTTTTTAAATTTGTGCGCAAAGAACATAAAAATGATTCTGAAGTGAACGGGTTATGGTCATCATCATTGCTTTGTGCTGTGGAGCTTCTTCTACTATATTTGTAATTGCAGCATAACAAAAACAACAGGGTCCCAATGCAGTAGCCATCAATTAGCAGCTACATCAGGCAATTCTAATTTGTCAGAAGAGGTATGCAGGAAAAGCTGAGGCCCACCACAAGGTCTGATCACAGGACCTCTGCTATCTGGGTGTTCCTTATCACCTTGGCTTCTGATAAAACTATGGTCATCTGCAACATCAGTGCTCAGCACTTGAATCAGGAATGTTTATAGAAAATGTTAACAACCTGGGCACTACAAGCATGAAGTCCAACCACTCATCTCAATGGAGGGCCCACTTAGACCAGAGGACGGAGCAGCTGGCTCCCCCTTGCTGTAGCTGCATCTTCTTTCTCCACATCCTTCATTGTTCAAGCCACATAACACATTTCTGCTGCCTCTACTCAGAGGAAGGCAACTTTGTCTAGGAGTTTTAGCTGGACCTTCTCTACCTCCAGCAGTATTGAGGGGCATAGTGGCAAAGCTAGGAGCAGAGTCATCACCCTGCTATCACTGCATTCAACCGGTACTGGTGTTCACCAGCTAGCCTTCCATCCCATAGGATTTGGAGCAAAAGAAGGTAACCACTCCCCTTAACTGCTCCCACACTCAACACCCTAATATCAGTCTTACATAGTGTCAGGGAAGGCCTGGCTGTAGTATAGTTGAAGCTCCACAGCGCACAAATATGCGCATGTGCAGGGTTCTGGCAAGCCAAGCAGATGTGCGGGCGCCTGGACAGAGGCGCGCGCAGTTGCGCTCGCGCATGCCACGCGCACTCCACTCCTGTCATTAATGCTGGCGCCAAGAGAACTATTTAAACTGACTGCTGTGGTTGTCTCATTGCCGTATGGTCTTTTCCCCCTGTTCGTGTTTCCTGACGTCTGTGATTGATTCCTGTTGCCAAACCAGCCTGTTCCTGACTTCTGCTTGATTGCCTCCTGCCCTGACTTCTGGTCTGTCCTCAGATTATTCTTCTGCCTGCTCCTATCTGATTGACCTCCTGTTACTGAACCCGGCCTGTGACCCGACTATTCTCCTGCCTGCCGTTTAAGCCTGATCTGTCTCGCCAATATTGAACCCGGCTCGTCTGACTCTGCATCTTCAGCACACGGTGCTCCAGCATCCATCCATCCTGCACGGATACATCTGCACTCTGCTCTGGCCTGCTACTCATCAGCCCAACAGCTGTTACCGGATAGATCTCAGGCCCTCATACCCCTCCGAGCTCCTGAGACAGCTCTCCCACTATCAGCAGTCCCTGGCCGGAGTTGTAGGAGAGGTCTGCCTCTTCACGTCAGGCTCACTACCCAGGTACGTGACAGTACCATACGGCCATGTCTGAGCCTGCAAGAGGACCCTCTCCCCTAGATGAGATATGTCATCACCTGGCAGCACTCACTCAAGCAGTGAAGACTCTGCAGGATGGATATGCACACCTGGAGGAACGCATGCAAACACTGGCTACACTTGCTCCTGTGTCTGTAGATCCTAGCAGGATTATAGCAGGATAGTGGAACTTCCACCTTCCGAAGGATATACCGCTATCTTCGTGGTAGTAGATCGGTTATCAAAGATGGCCCATTTTTTGCCTCTAAAGAGTACACCTTCTGCTTCTGAGACTGTTTGGGTCTTCATCAAGGAAATTGTCAGACTCCATGGAATTCCTATGAACATTGTCTCAGATCGGGGGGTACAGTTCACGTCGAGATTCTGGAGGGCACTATGTGAGACCCTGGAGATCGAGTTGTCTTTTTCTTCTGCCTATCACCCGCAAACCAACGGACAGACCGAACGGACCAACCAGACTCTGGAGCAGTACATCCGGTGTTACACGTCTTTTGTCCAAGATGACTGGGTATCACTCTTGCCCCTGGAAGAATTTGCATACAACAAGCCAGCCATTCTGCCACCAAACAGTCGCCTTTTTTTTCTTACTATGGGTTTCACCCTACCTTTTTACCTGACCTGGTGCCAGAGACTTCTGTCCCTGCTGCCCAAGATACATTAAATTTCTTTGTCACTAACAATAAATTATTACAGGAGACGGTCACGAAAGCCCAGGAGGACAACAAAAGGGTCTTCGACAGAAGGAGAAGGGGAGAACTGATTCTGCACCCAGGATACCAGGTCTGGCTTGCTACAACCAATCTAAAGATGGCATGCCCTTCGAGGAAGTTGGCACCAAAGTTTGTGGGACCGTTTCCGGTAAGACGCAAGATTAATGATGTCTCTTATGAGTTAGCACTTCCGGAATCCCTTAAAGTGCACCCAGTTTTCCATGTGTCACTATTAAAGCCTGCAGTACCTGATCCCTTTTCTAACCGAAGGTCAAGGCACCTGAGCCTATAAATATTGACAGAGAGGAGGAATTTGAGGTCGAGGCTGTTGTGGACTGTAGGAAAAGGAGGGGCCAGACACAGTATCTTATCAAGTGGAAGGGGTATGGGCCAGAGGAAAGTTCATGGGAACCGGCACAGAACGTAC